TATATGTTATATACAGGTTTTTCTATGAACATGAATTTTCATTTGTTTGGATAAGTGCCCAGGAGTACAGTTGCTGGGTGATGCTGTAGTTGCATGTTTAGTATTTTTTTAGTATTGTTATACTTTTAAGTTTTAGGGTACATGTGCACAACATGCAGGTTTGTTACATATGTATACATGTGCCATGTTGGTGTGCTGCACCCATTAACTCATCATTTACATTAGGTATATCTCCTAATGCTATCCCTCCCCACTTCCCCCACCCCACAACAGGCCCCGGTGTGTGATGTTCCCCGCCCTGTGTCCAGGTGTTCTCATTGTTCAATTCCCACCTATGAGTGAGAACATGTGGTGTTTGTTTTTTTTGTCCTTGCAATAGTTTGCTGAGAATGATGGTTTCCAGCTTCATCCATGTCCCTACAAAGGACACGAGCTCATCGTTTTTTATGGCTGCATAGTATTCCATGGTATATATGTGCCACATTTTCTTAATCCAGTTTATCATTGACATTTGGGTTGGTTCCAAGTCTTTGAATAGTACCGCAATAAACATACGTGTGCGTGTGTCTTTATAGCAGCATGATTTATAATCCTTTGGGTATATACCCAGTAATGGGATGGCTGGGTCAAATGGTATTTCTAGTTCTAGATCCTTGAGGAGTCGCCACACTGTCTTCCACAATTGTTGAACTAGTTCACAGTCTCACCAACAGTGTAAAAGCGTTCTTATTTCTCCACATCCTCTCCAGCACCTGTTGTTTCCTGGCTTTTTAATGATCACCATTCTAACTGGTGTGAGATGGTATCTCATTGTGGTTTTGATTTGCATTTCTCTGATGGCCAGTCATGATGAGCTTTTTTTTTTTTTTTGAGATGGAGTCTTGCACTGTTGCCCAGGCTGGAGTGCAATTGTGCCATCTCAGCTCACTGCAAGCTCCGCCTCCCGGGTTCACACCATTCTCCTGCCTCAGCCTCCCTAGTAGCTGGGACTACAGGCACTCGCCAGCACGCCCAGCTAATTTTTTGTATTTTTAGTAGAGATAGGGTTTCACTTTGTTAGCCAGGATGGTCTCGATCTTCTGACCTCGTGATCCATCCACCTCAGCCTCCCAAAGTGCTGGGATTACAGGTGTGAGCCACTGTGCCCAGCCGCCTGTTTAGTTTTATAGGAAACTGCCAAACTGTTTTCCAGAGTGGCCATATCTTTTTACGTTCCCATCAGCAATATGTGATCCAGTTTCCCCTAAGCAGCATTTGGTGTTGTCACTGTTTTTTATTTTAGCCATTCTGACTGTTGTGTGGTGATGGCTCGTTGTGGTTTGAATTCGCATTTCCCTAATACTTAATGATTTCAAACGTATTTTCATCTGTTTGTTGGCCATCCTTATATCCTCTTCAGTGAAATATCTGTGTCTTTTGCCCGTTTTCTAATTGAATTATTTGCTTTCTTGCTGTTGTGTTTTAGGAGTTCTTTGCCTATTCTAGCTATCTGTCTTTATTGGATGTGTCATTTGCAGTTGTTTCGCTCATTCTGTGACTTACCTTTGCAGCTTCTTCACAGGGTCTTTTGCGGAGCAAACATTTGAAATCATGCTTTTGGTGTCAAGTCTTCGAACTCTTTGCCTAGTCCTAGATCCCAAAGACTTTTTCCTCCTGTGTTTTTTTATCTTAAAGTTTCATAGATTATATTTAAATCCATAGTTCATTTTGAGTTAATTTTTGTTTAAGATATGAGATTAGGTCAAGGTCTTATTTGTTTGTTTGGCTTATGGAGGTCCACTTACCCCAGTGCCAAATGGTGCAAAACTCTCTTTGCCACTAACTTGTTTTTGTACCTTTGTCAAAGATTGCTTGGGCATATGGACATATTTGTATAGATCTACTTTTGGATTCTCTGTTCTGTTCATTTGATCTATGTCCCTCTGTCAACACTGCACTGTCTTGATTACTGTAATTGTTTAAAAAGACTTGAAAGCTGCGCGGTGGCTCATGCCTATAATCCTACCACTTTGGGAGGCTGAGATGGGAGGATCGCCTGAGGTCAGGACTTCGACACTAGCTTGGCCAACATGGTGAAATCCCGTCTCTACTAAAAATACAAAAATTAGCTGGGCATACTGGTGTGCGCCTGTGATCCCAGCTACTTGGAAGGCTGAGGCAGGAGAATTGCTTTAATCTGGGAGGCAGAGGTTGCAGTGAGCCAAGATCACGCAACTGCACTCCAGCCTGGGCGAAAGAATGAGACTTAATTTAAAAAAAAAGCCTTGAAATTGGGTAGACTGGTTAGTTCTGTATTTATTCTTTTTTCTGAAAATGTTTTAGCTGTTGTAGTTCCTTTGCCTTTCCACATAAATTTTAGGATAATCTTGTCTATACAAAAAATTGACTGGAAGTTTGGTAGGATTTGTATTAAATATGCCTATCGATTTGGGGAAAATTGATGTCTTTACTGTGTTGAGTCTTCCAATCTGTGGACAGACACAGTGTGTCTTCTCATTTATTTAAATTTCCTTTGATTTATTTCATCTGCATTTCATTTTCCGTTTCCAAGCCCTATACATGTTTTGTTAGATTTACAACTAAACATTGTCTTCTATTGAACAATTGCCAATGGCATTGTATTTTTAATTTCAGTGTCCATGTGTTCATTGCTCGTATATAGAAATATAGTTGATTTTCATATGCTCATCTTGTGTACTACAACCTTGCTGAACTCACTTATTAGTTGTATGAGTTTTACGTTTTATTTAAAGTTCCAATTATTTAGCACTTTCTGTGTGCCAGGCATTATGCTAAAGCTTTCTTGTACTTGTCCAAGCCAGTAAGTGGTAGAACTAGGATCTTGATACATAAATCATTTATCCACTTCATTAGTTCATTTCACAAATTCTTAAGCAGAGCTTATTTGAACCACAATGAATCTAGACCAAGATCCTGCCCTCCTGAGCCCACAGTCTGAAACTGGCAGAAGTAATACAAGTGATTATGTAGCTATGATATGTTCAAACTAAATAAGTAGATTTATTACAACTGAATGCATTTACTAGCTCATTCTGTAAGTGGGTGAGGCAAGGAAGGGCACCTTCGCTGGTCTGGAGTGGGGTGGGGGTGCCCAGAGAGGGCTTCCTAAAGAAACAGTGTTGCAGGGCATGATGGCTCACACCTGTAATCCCAGCACTTTGGGAGGCAAAGGCAGGAGGATCACTTGATCCCAGGAGTTTGAGAGCAGCCTGGGCAACATAGTGAGACCCTGGCTGTAAAGAAAGAAAGACAGATAGAAGAAAGAAAGGAAAGAAGGAGAAAGAACCCATGTTAATTTTCCCAAGCTTATTGATTCTTAACTCACTTCAATTTTTGACATTCAGGGATGTCTGTGATCAAAGCTCATATGAAGAGAATTCTAAATGTTGTTTGCCAAAGAACCCAAGCACTCCTGGCAGCTCTCGCCTCGCCTCTGTGGCCTCCTCACCTCCTTCACCTGCTGCTGTCTCAGCCTGGCCCCTTCCATCCGGCCCCTGAGCCCTGGACTCTGTGTCCTCCTCACCTCCTTCACCTGCTGCGTCTCAGCCTGCCCCCCCCCCTGACCCGACTCTGTGTCCTCCTCCTTCACCTGCTGCTGTCTCAGCCTGGCCCCTTCCATCCGGCCCCTGAGCCCGGACTCTGTCCTCCTCACCTCCTCCCTGCTGCTTCTCGCTGGCCCCCCTCCGGCCCCTGAGCCCGGCTCTGTCCTCCTCACCCCTCACCTGCTGCTGTCTCAGCCTGGCCCCTTCCATCCGGCCCCTGAGCCCGGACTCTGTGTCCTCCTCACCTCCTTCACCTGCTGCCTGTCCTCAGCCTGGCCCCCCTTCCCATCCCGGCCCCTGAGCCCCGGACTCTGTGCCTCCTCACCTCCTTCACCTGCTGCTGTCTCAGCCTGGCCCCTTCCATCCGGCCCCTGAGCCCCGGACTCTGTGTCCTCCTCACCTCCTTCACCTGCTGCTGTCTCAGCCTGGCCCCTTCCATCCGGCCCCTGAGCCCCGGACTCTGTGGCCTCCTCACCTCCTTCACCTGCTGCTGTCTCAGCCTGGCCCCTTCCATCCGGCCCCTGAGCCCCGGACTCTGTGTCCTCCTCACCTCCTTCACCTGCTGCTGTCTCAGCCTGGCCCCTTCCATCCGGCCCCTGAGCCCCGGACTCTGTGTCCTCCTCACCTCCTTCACCTGCTGCTGTCTCAACCTGGCCCCCTCCATCCGGCCCCTGAGCCCCGGACTCTGTGGCCTCGTCACCTCCTTCACCTGCTGCTGTCTCAGCCTGGCCCCTTCCATCCGGCCCCTGAGCCCCGGACTCTGTGGCCTCCCCAAGCGGCCAGCACAGTCACGTCTAAGTCGACCTGACCGTCTGCCTGCTGGGTGCCGCTGGGTGCCGCTGGGTGCCTGCTGGGCGCCTGCTGGGTGCCGCTGGGTGCTGCTGGCGCTGGCCCCCCTGCACATTCTCCATGCCTTCCTTTCCATGGCACCAGTTTCTGCCTTTCCTTTGGGTTTCTTTCCCCCTTCCTCCTGGCAGGCTGGGTTTTGGAGTCATTTGGGATGGAAGGTGGGCCATGTGAGGAGCTGTAGGGTCAGGCCCCCTCTCTGCCAGTCCATTTGGGAAAAATCCTCCATGTCACTAAGCTCTTGTAACAATAGCTATGAAAGTTGCTCGTTAGTTGGGAACTGAAATCTGCCTGTATAGAGATTTGCTCTCAGATGGATTTCCAGGTAAAGACAGATCCCCGTCCCCATTGAGCAGGGAAGGAGCGGTCCCTCCCTGGCAGTGCTGTGTCCTCTGATGGCACGCAGCACTTCAGGGTTATTCTGTCAGGTGGCATGGCTCTCCCTTTGCACGGGAGTGAGTGTCCCACAGCCAGCACTGTCCCTGCCTGCACCTTTCCTCCCACCCCCGTGGCCATGTGCCGAGTGAACCAGCCCTGTTCTGCCTTCAGACTGAGGAGGCGTGTTCCTCTTCCATGTCTCCCTGTCTGTAGGAGCGATCTCTCTTTGAGTCGGCGTGGAAGAAGGAGAAGGACATCGTTTCCAAGGAGATAGAGAAGCTCCGCACGTCCATCCAGACCCTGTGCAAGAGTGCACTTCCCCTGGGGAAGATCATGGACTACATCCAGGAAGACGTGGATGCCATGCAGAATGAGCTGCAGCTGTGGCACAGCGAGAACAGGCAGCACGCCGAGGCCCTGCAGCAGGAGCAGAGGTTGGGGGTAGCAGGGGGGTAGTAATGGGGGGGGGTGCCCTGCAGCAGGAGGAGAGGTGGGGGGTAGTAATGGGGGGTGCCCTGCAGCAGGAGGAGAGGTGGGGGATAGTAATGAGGGGGTGCCCTGCAGCAGGAGGAGAGGTGGGGGGTAGTAATGAGGGAGTGCCCTGCAACAGGAGCAGAGGTGGGGGGTAGCAGGAGGGTATGGGGAGGGGGCCTTGCAGCAGGAGCAGGGGTGGGGGGTAGCAGGAGGGTAATGGGGAGGGGCCCTGCACAGGAGCAGGGTGGGGGTAGCAGGTAATGGAGGGGGCCCTGCAGCAGGAGCAGAGGTGGGGGATAGTAATGAGGGAGTGCCCTGCAGCAGGAGCAGGGGTTGGGGGTAGCGAGAGGGTAATGGGGAGGGGGCCTTGCAGCAGGAGCAGGGTGGGGTTAGCAGAGGCAGGGAGTAGTGGGGAGGGGGCACTGCAGCAGGAGCACAGGTAGGGGTAGGAGCGGGGATAATGGGGAGGGGCCTGCAGTAGGAGCAGGGTGAGGGGTAGAGGAGGGTAATGGGGAGGGGCCCGCAGCAGGAGCAGGGGTGGGGGTAGCAGGAGGGTATGGGGAGGGGCCCTGCAGCAGGAACAGGAGGGTAGCAGAGGCAGGGAGTAATGGGGAGGGGGCCCTGCAGCAGGAACAGGTTGAGGGGTAGGAGGAGGGTAATGGGGAGGGGCCCAGCAGCAGGAGCAGGGGTCGGGGGGAGCAGGAGGGTATGGGGAGGGGGCCCTGCAGCAGGAGCAGGGGTGGGGGGTAGCAGAGGCAGGGAGTAATGGGGAGGGGGCCCTGCAGCAGGAACAGGTTGAGGGGTAGGAGGAGGGTAATGGAGAGGGGGCCCAGCAGCAGGAGCACAGGTGGGGGGTAGCAGTTGGGAGAGTAATGGGGAGGGGGTCCTGCAGCAGGAACAGGTTGGGGGGTAGCAGGCGGGTAGTAATGGGGAGGCCCTGCAGCAGGAGCAGAGGTTGGGGGTAGCGGAGGGGGGAGTAATGGGGAGGGGGCCCTGCAGCAGGAGCACAGGTAGGGGGTAGTAGAGGGGAGGTCCCCAAAGTCGATAGGGACTTTGCAGCATACCTCCTTGTCCCAGAGGCTGTTCTGTATATAATTTAAGGGCTTCAAGCTTATCATTGAAGAAATATTAACTGCTGCTTTTATAAATCTCATGTTTGACTTCACTTTTGGTTGTGGCAAGGGTTGTGAAAATAAGAAATAAATTTTATCCTTTTCTTTGGATGAGATGAATAATTTACTTCTGTTGTCTTTCAATGTCTTAATTAAGAAGCCAACACACAATGAGATGAGAGAGTGACGAGCCGCTGGTTTTCTTCTCCCTCAGTATCACAGACTGTGCCGTGGAGCCCTTAAAGGCTGAGCTCGCGGAGCTGGAGCAGCTGATCAAAGACCAGCAAGACAAGATCTGCGCTGTGAAGGCCAACATCCTCAAGAATGAAGAAAAAATCCAGAAAATGGTGTATAGTATCAATTTGACTTCGAGAAGGTGAACACTCAAAAGTTTCAGAGATGAAAAGTCACCTCAGTTTAAAAGCAAAAAGGAAGATAGAAAATCGTTACTCTTTTAAGTTCCAGTTTGCTAAGAAAATGAACAGTTTACAATGTTGTTATCCAGCTAATTTTCAGAGCTTTAAAACTGTAAGCATGTTAAGTGTATTAAAAAAACCATGTTTTCTTACCTCCTTCCAGATGGAATACTGGCTAGTTATAAATAGCGCTTCCAAACACCTCTGTGAAAGGTTTTTTGAAAGCCTGTTCTTTGTGTTTCTGCTGTAGCCTGTTTAGTTCTGTACCAGAACTCTCCAGCAGGTAAGTGGTGTGGCCGTACCGAGGGAACAGTAGTCCTTTATTTTGGTTTAGTGGAAAGACTCTCAGAGGTCCATGCAGAATGAAGGATGACTGTTTACTTTCTGATAGGCACTTGATAAGTAGAATGAGGCCTGAAAATGAATAAATTATATTTTTAGTTAATTTCCATTTGAAAGGGCTAATCTCAGCCTGTCTCCATATAAGGTACCTATCTACTGGATTGTTTTCGTTTTTGTTTTTTGACCTCTTTGTAATTGCATGTACTTCTCTATGTAATTTTCTTCTTGATCTCTACTATCTTTTGCTTGTGTTTCCAGTCCTTGAAGTTCATAAATTTAAAAAGGAGATTTCAGGATGGCCTTTACGGACATTGTCTGGATATGAAATTGTCTTGGGCTACATCCTCACTTTCTTCAGCATTTTACCCTGGCTTTCCTCAGGCAGAGGCTAGCACAGCTACCCTTGAGTCCTTGTTCTCCTTAAGAGGGTCTTGCTCTGCGAGGCACTGGCATCATGCCTTTTCCTTTGCATGGGTGTGTACACCTGAGAGACAGGTAGCTTAGGAAAAATGACATAAGGAAGACTTACAAGGCTGCACTGATTTATGATGTTTTTTGATGTTAGCCATTTTTTTGGAAATTGTTTTTTAATGCAAAGGTTTTTTAAAAAACATGGTTTATAGTTTTTCACTTACGTATACTATTGTAAATACGTAGCAGAGTCTTAAGTTATTGTATAAAACATTTCATTGTGTTTGAAGACATACTTATGGGTCTTAAGGTCTGGGTCCTAATACTTTTATTTTTAAATAGTGTGTTTATTATGTAAACTAAGGAGTGCCATTTAAAATGTGAGGATTGCCTAAAAAAGTTTTGTTTCTTTTTTTTTTTTTTTGAGACGGAGTCTTACTCTGTCACCCAGGCTGGAGTGCAGTGGTGTGATCTCGGCTCACTGCAATCTCAGCCTCCCAAGTTCAAGTGATTCTCTTGCCTCAGCCTCCTGAGTAACCAGGACTACAGGCGCACGCCACCACGCCCGGCTAATTTTTGTATTTTTAGTAGAGATGGGGTTTCACCATGTTGGCCAGGATGGTCTTGATCTCCTGACCTCGTGATCCGCCCGCCTCAGCCTCCCAAAGTGCTGGGATTACAGGCGTGAGCCACAGCGCCCTGCCAGGTTTTGTTTCTTTAAGGATTAGCACAAATGGCACCGTTGGGTTTTTCTTCATACAATTTCCAAAATAAATTCTGTACTAAGGTTCTTATATGACTTTCTGAGCTGAGTAAGTTTAGGAGCAGATTATTAAGATCTGCCATTCTGAAACGTTGGTCTTTTTCTCCTTCCTATAGTGCACCATAAAATTCTGTTTGATCAGATTATACTGAATACATTTTGGGGGAGTGGAGGGACATTAGTTAAGTAGTCCTTCGTGTATTTATGATCTCTTTTCTACTGAATCAAATGACTTAGCCATGACCCTGAATGGACCTTGTTTCACTTCAAGTTAAGATGTCTGCCTTTTATGAATTTGTATATATGAATAGAATTTGGAGATTGCGAAAAATTGCATACATTGTATGTAAGTAAAATTTTTTATGAAGTAGTCTGTCAAATTGTATCATAAAGTTTATTTTTCTTTTATACATAAATCATTAAAAATAATCACATATTTTTTTCCATAAGTGTATGGATTGTGCAGTTCAATTCACACATGGAAAAATCATAAGCATTTAGATTTTTTATTTTCAAATGTGTGCATTTTGTTTTTCTCATGAGGAAAGTTCAGGGAAATATATCTTTTCATTCATATTATGACACATACCTCTTTTCAGTATAAAATGAAGTTTTATAAGATAGGTAAGCATTTACTGGAAATCGTAAGATCATTTGTGAAGTTTTAGAAGGTCTCTACACATGATTGTTACTGTATCTTATCCTAGACACCAGATCCTGATCTTATTTGAGAAATTTAAGTTTTCTCTTAATTTGAGAAAATACACAAATGGGATTATTAAGTATTTTTCTATACTTTGGTGTATAAGTTTTCAGGGAGTACTGGAGTCATACTTCCAGAATTTGAATTTAAAAGTTGAGCTGATGATAATTTATATTCAAAGGAAATGCATAATAAACCTTTGGAAGAAATAGTTCAAGACTAAAATGCAGCTTTCTACTTTGATATTCATCCTTATCTTTTTAATAATCAACTTTTAAAAACTGAAATCAATCAAGAAGAATGATGTCATTTGGTGATATGAAGTGTACTTAGGATTTGGGTGATACGGATTCTAGTCAGTGTATTGGCGAGTGCGCCTCAACTATTCCAGTGCTGCTCTTCCGAGCTGCCCTGGACTCATGGGGTTTATCTTCTATTGGTCGGTGTGTACAGTGTCATGGCACACGAATGAGAGAAAAGATGGCCAGGGCCTTTGAGCAGCTTTTGGATCAGTAGCCAGTGTGAGGCAGCAGCAAGCAGGATGAGCAGCCTGTTTGAGCTTCTGCAGGAACCTGCTTCAGAAGGAGGCCACGCCCAAGCAGGATCAAGGCTCAGCATGTCACCACCAGGGAAGACACTAAACACCCAGACCTGGACTTGGCTCCCCCTTCTGGACTCTTCTTTCCACACCCAAAACGCAGAGAGTAAATAACCTTGTTCATGGCACCTCTACCACTGTGGGCTCCTCTGAGGGGCTCTCCAGCAAAGACTAACGTAGCAAAGTAGAAGAAAGAAAAATTCTAAGTCAAGCATGAGCCAGCCTAAGTCGGAGGGGAAGGAATAGCTGTTCTCAGCCATTCTCAAATGTAACTACTTGCTGCATTTGGGCTCTGAGTTTAACTCTATCCTAGGATACACTTTATTAATAAAAACATTTTATATTTTTCTAAAAGGTGTTTCAATAAGTATGGTTTATGCAAGCTTTACATTGGGGCATTAGTAAAGCCCCCTAGTCAGAACCCCTTTTTGATTATTATGTGTATTTTCGTAAAGGGAGATTGGGAGGGATTTTGATTTCTTTTAAATTCAGCGAGAGAAATTTAAATGACTTTTAAAGCTATAGAACTTGGCCGGGCATGGTGGCTCACACCTGTAATCCCAGCACTTTGGGAGGCCAAGGCAGGCAGATCACCTGAGGTCAGGAGTTCGAGACCAGCCTGGCCAACATGGTGAAACCCTGTCTCTACTAAAAATTAAAAAAAAAAAAATTAGCCAGGCATGGTGGTGGGCGCCTGTAATCCCAGCTACTTGGGAGGCTGAGGCAGAAGAATTGCTTGAACCAGGGAGGCGGAGGTTGCAGTGAGCCGAGATTGTGCCACTGTACTCCAGCCTGTGTGAAAGAGTGAGACCCTGTCTAAAAAAAAAACACACAAAACTTCTTTTGGCCAGCCATGGTGGCTCATGTGTGCAATCCCAGTATTTTCAGAGGCCGAGACGTGAGACTCACTTGAGCCCAGGAGTTCGTGACAGCCCTGGCAACATAGTGAGTGAGGCCCCATCAAAACAAAAAAGCTGGGTGTGGTGATCCGCGCCTGTAGTCCTGGTTACTCCGGAGGCTGAGGTGGTAGGATCACTTGAGCCCAGCAGGTTGAGGCTGCGGTGAGTCACAGTCATGCCACTGCATGCCAGGCTGGGTGACAGAGCAAAATCCACTCTAAAATATTAATAATAATACATAAAACTTGTTTTTAAATCCATACATAGAGCTGAGTTCCAAATTGGTTATCAGTTTCTTAAACCAAGCAAATTGATCTTTCTGGTAAGAAAATGGAGTTCAAAAGAAAGTTAAAGTACACATATTACAAGAAGGTTGTGTTCTGGTCAGCCAGGGCAGGATCATATCCATGTCAATGACTGCAGTCAAATGTGTGTGTCCAGATTGGTGGGCATGTGGTGTTGGCCAAAGCACCGTGGAAACCTCTGGGTGTCTTCTGATGAAGCCGGGCACCCAGAGCCATGTGATTCTAGGAGATGCTTGTGACACGAGGGTGGGCTGGCCCTGCCCCACTGTGCACACAGATGGTCGGGTCTGATTTGTGTTCTCCAGCAGCCAGGCATGACACCCTGTGGATAGTGCTATGCGTAAGTTTTTAAAGAAAATTATCCTTACTGTCAATCATGTATCAATATCACCCTTAGTTGTGCCTGGTATTCATGTTGGCATAACTAATTCATATTCCTAAAGTATTCATTTCTTCTTATTTAAAGGGCTTTTAATGGAAAAGGTAATATATTAGCATGGATCCACAATCACAGTTAGCTGAAAGGGTCCTCACTTAGAAGTCCCCTCCTGCGGTCCCTGTCTGCCTTGCTTCTCCTTGCCCCTGTAGGCAGCCATTTGCGTTAGACTGTTGTACAAGCAGATATGAATATTTACTTTTATAACCCCCCAACATACAGTTTCACAAAAGGTCATAGTCTATACCCTGTTCTGAACCTTGGCTTTTTGGGTTTATGCAGTCTGTAGGGACCTCAGAGTGTCCACCCTAGACTCCGTCCTCACTTCTCTCCAGGCTGCGTGGATCTCCCCCTGCAACTGCCTGGCTTCTCCTGCTGGCTCCCTGGTACTCAGTTGCATGGTTTCTAATCTTCCACCATTAAAAGCAATGCCGCCGCGAATGGCTTTGTCCTCCCATCATTTCTTATGTGTGGAAAGACCCAGAAGTGAGACTGCAGGGTGAAAGCACAGTGTGTCACCATACTGGTGGGTGTTGCCAGATGCTGTTTGTGGGATGGTTCCGTGTTCCTGCACCAGAGAATATGTGGAAGTACCTTTTCCCCGCAGCCTTCCAGCAGCAGACGGCCACACGCAGAGACTTCCGCCGCTCAGGCGAGAAAGGATCTCAGCGTGGTTTTCATTTGCGCTTTCGCATTTTGACTGAGTTGTAGCCTCTCTTGATGTGTTTAAGGACCATGTGCTTGTTTGCTTTTCTGTTCTGTGAGCTGACTGTGCAGCAGCTCATTTGCCCTTTATTCTGTTGGACTCTTGGTTTTCCCTCCTGGATTTCTAGAAGCACTTCGTGTTTTGAGTTCATATTATTCCCAGTTTGCCTTTTGACTGTGCTATAGCTTCCTTCCCCCAGTGCGATGCTGGACAAATACGGACAGTCCTTGTGATTTTTACAATTGGCCCGATGCTGCCAGGAATGATGGCGACGGCTCTTTTCTCATGTTGAAAACAGACTCTTCTGATCCTGGTTACAGAGAACCTCTAGCAGGTATAGATGTTGAATTGTTCTTGTCTGTTAAGGTGATGGCATTTTCTCTCCTTTGGCTTAGTAATGTGCTATCCTTGATTACCCAACATGAAAATATCCTGTGTTCATAGGTGAAGTCCTGTGTGCTCAGGCAGGCTGTTCCTCCGTCGTGCTGAGTGGTTCTGCCGCACATGCATGAGTCCAGTGTTTCTTGCTGCCCAGTGCTTGTCAGCCGGCAGGGGGGTTGGGGGCATAGTCTGTTCCTTGATTAACCCCAGTCTTAGGTGGACACCATGTCCCTGGGTCTTCGCTGTAGCTCTGGAATCAGCTTGCATTCCTGCCCCTCCCCCAGGAGTCGGGGTCTCCTATTCCTTCCCAGCTACAGGGATTCCCCCAGTGCCCTAAGGCGGACAGGCTTCTCACCTGCCCCTGCACCGACTTTTCTGTCCCATGGGGAGAAGATTCCAGCAGGAGTTCTGTGCCCTCCAGCAATGACTACTGTTGGAACCTTCTCCCCTATGGGACAGCAGACACCATTCAGGGGCAGGTGAGAAACCCGTCAGCCTTAGGGCATGGGGAAATCCGCTGGAGCTGGGAAGGGAGTAGGACACAGGGCCCATAGGGAAGAAGGGTCTTTCTCAGGTGCGCACACATGGCAAGGGACACTTCAGACTTTCTCCAGTCTTTCCTGAGAGATTTTGTGGAAACAGCCTTGGGGAGGCAGCTGACCCCTGTTGAGGCCCCGGGGGCTTTGCGTTCTCTCTCCTGGAGCATACTTGTCCTGCCGCCACCCCACTGAGCTCTGCTCCCCAGGCTGGCCTGCACTCCCCACCCTCCTCTGGCCCCTGGCTATCTGTCCTTAGATTTGTCCAGCTGTTTTTCATCTGAAGAAATTCTAGCCAGGCACGGTGGCTCACGCCTGTAATCCCAGCACTTTGGGAGGCTGAGGTGGGCGGATCACCTGCGATCAGGAGTTCAAGACCAGCCCGACCAACATGGTGTAACCCCGTCTCTACTAAAAATATAAAAATTAGCCAGGTATGTTGGCACATGCCTGTAATCCCAGCTACTTGGGAGGCTGAGGAAGGAGAATCGCTTGAACCCAGGAGGTAGAGGTTGCAGTGAGCCGAGATCATGACACTACACTCCAGCCTGTGTGACAGAGTGAGACTCTGTCTCAAAAAAAAAAAAAAAAAAAAAAAAAAAAATCCAGAGTGGAAATTCTGAAGCCTCTGCTTACTACTTCTGAAGGTGTTTCCTAGGTCTTAACCCAAACTGGGTTGAGAGGCCCTTCACACAGATTGACTTGGAAAGCCTGGCCCAAAGCGGCGTCTCACTCTTCACCCCGGCCTCTGTGTCTCGTTCATGGGTCATGTGCATTGTTTCTGAAGCACAAAGGAGGTTTATTATCAACGGTAAGTGGCAGATCTGCGTGGGGTTCAAGCTTGAACAGGAAGTAGCTGAGGCAAGAACCACAGTGAGTGCCCTGCAGAGCCCACAGCACAGGCCCTGACCGCCAGGCCTCCTGTCCCACCACTGGTTATGGCTAGACTCCTCCTCCCCTGCCCAGTTTTGTGGGTGGTGGGCGTAGCTTCAGGCCTTCTTTCACCTTTTGGACTTCATTCCTCTCCCCTGCCAAACCGCACCTCTGCAGGGTAAATTTTGCCCCTTCTTGAGGTGGTGTGGAAGAACACGGAGTGTGGGCTCAGGACCCCCTTCCTGTCAGGTGTGGATGTGTGATTTGGGGTGCTCCTTTTTATGTCTCCTTTGAGCCTCGGTCGTCCACTGATGGGTCATCTTAGCCACGGGGAGCACATGTGGCTCATGGGTGCCTGGTGAGTGTTGGTGTGTGGTGCACTGGCGGCGTGTGCTGTCCCTCGTCTCAGCGGTTGGCTGGCAGGGCTTGGGGTCTCCTGCTCGGCTCCGACCCTTCAGGACCAGTTGCCCGTGGCCCCGTCTTGGTGGATGGTCTCACATCTCATCTCCTAGGCAGAGAAGCCAATGGCTGAAATGGGCCATAAAGACACAGTGATGTTCAGAAACGCCTCTGCCACGTTTGGGTAGCTTGCTATTAGCATGTTCCTGTGAGGGACGGAAACAGCAGTCTAAGCTGAGGTCACATGAGGAAAGCAGAGCCCAGGCCCCACCCCTGAGAACTGACGAACCTCAGGGATGGGCAAGTTTGTCTCGGCCTCAGCCTCTGGTGGGGTGGGGGGCTCAGGCCTGTGGGTCGGGGGCTTGGCCTCTTGGGAGGGGGTTGGGCCTCCTAGGTAGTGGCATTGGGATGAGAGAGGCGCCTGCTAGAAATTTGTGGTTTCAAAGCTGGGCATGTGACTCTTTAGAGCTAATGGGCCCTGACAGTTCTGGGAAGCATTTGTTTTATTTTCATAAAGTGCATAAAATCCTTCTGACTTGAGCAGCAAGAAATTGGCGGTGCTGCTGCAGATGCTTCCCCAGGCCGCCCACCGTCTGCCAGACCAACCGGTGAGGACAGGCGGGGCCGATGGCTGTGGGGAGAGGGTGCGTAGGGCCAGCTTCCCCTGCACCTTGGGCAGAGGGATAGCCCAAGGAGGAGGAGGAGGGAGAGGCTTCAGGTGAGGCAGTGAGGGACCCTCAACAGGACTAGACTCCCGAGAGGACTAGGCGGTGTCTGTGTCCGATTCTGATGTGGGGACCCAGTGGTGTGGACGCACAG